GTGCATCCTATTCTTCACAGCAACCCTTTAGGTGGACTTTGACATTGCTTCCTCCAAGGGACTGAGTCACCTGAAACATGGCTAGCGGGCGACTATCGGCAGACATAATAAGGGCAGAGAAGTAGTTATATTTCGCCACCCTTATTGCTATAAGGTAGGCCTTAACAGTGGCTCTAGTTGTGTCCAATTGTCTTTGTTCCGTCTTTTGTCAGCGACACTTTAGGCATCTCTTAGCCTGCTTAAATTCCCTTGATTTCATCATATACTACAGGGAGTGGTGGAAACCCTGCACACGGAGAGGCCGTTCAGAAGTGATTTGATCTAAAGCCACCAATGCTTTGGTATTCCATGCGGTCAGGGCTGCAATCAAACCGAGCAGCAGGTTTTCCAGAATAACCCCAAGTTCCCTCTGCAAGCCTATGGGTCCCATTCAGGGGTGGGATTCAAATTTTTAACAATCGGTTCTGTGGTCATGGCTTAGGTGGTGGGCGTGATTTGGTGGTCATGTGACTGGGTGGACATGGCTTGGTGGTCATGTTATTGGCTGGGTGTGGCCAACTCAATATCACTCACATTGAGGCACGCATCTCCTTGCCTGACCTCTCATGACTGTGGGGATGCTGCAACAGTCGTAAGTGTGAAAAATGGTCATAAGTCACTTTTTTCAGTGTCATTGTAACTTTGAATGGTCACTCCACACAAGCAAAATACCAGCAAAGGAGGGGAAAAGAAACTCCAGAGACGTTCCTGAGACAGGAAGTCTAGTCCTGCCAAGAATGTAATAAGGGTTAACGGAGAGGCAGTTTCTGTAAGCAACACCAGAATGTTTCCTTCCTGCCTTCCTTACAGGATTAGGCCAGTAATTTCTTCTAACAACCGGTTCTCCGAACTGCTTAGAATGTTAACAACCGATTCTAGCGAATAGGTGCGAACCTGTAGAATCCCACCCCTGGTTCCATTAGTCTTGTAGGGCAGGCTGATCCAATAGTTATTCCAATCACAGCATTAATTCTGTAGGATTGACTATAGAGTAGCTCCCATGAAATCATGTAGTTAGTGGGAAAGGGGTTTCTAGGCCTTATCATTGCAGAGAAAAGCATAAAAAAAGAACAATTTCTGCTCAGCACTTTAAAAACACCAGATGGCATTATCAGCCTTTCTCTAAATTAGAAGATAGGGTTAATGGACCTCCACAAGTCTTCCCTTCCTGGAGATATTAAATATAACCTTATAAAGCATCTAGACCAAGTATATTCCAATCACACTACATAAAGATGGGAGCCAATTTATAATCAGAAAAAGGCCTTTAACACAAATCAGAAAATTGGAGAACCAAAAACTAAGACAGAATTGGAATGAATCATATCTCCTCTGCACAATTAGCTAGAGAAATGAGAAGATATGGTTCTTATCTTCAGCTTCTCTCCCCAATTCCTTCTTTCAGTAAGTATTTCTATTATCAGGAGGAACACGAATTCAGAAGATCACAAATGGTAGACTTCTTCTGGACATGCAGTATCATTTGACCCAGAAACACAAAAATACAGCAGTCCAATGGAACCTTCTATCTTTTAAATCTACAACGGAAGAAAATGCAACGATGGGATCAGACTGTCCTTCAGATCCCACCGCATCACAGATGGGATTTACCCATTGTTTTAATATGCCATCCATCCATCCAATTGAAAATATCATTTTAAGGATCGTACAGTGTGATGATCAAGGACTGCTAGCAAAAGATGAAAGAACTTGGGACTAAACTATATTTGGTATCAGAGTGTGCCTTAAATGTTTTAAGTTGGCTGCTGGTGTGTCTTATATTTGTTAAGTAAAGTAAGTAAAAAGCTGGTGGCGTTTTTAACCCTCAGAGGCACTGAGGTTCAGCTGCTGCTGGTAAATGCCTGGTCACTCTATAATAAGGCTCCCCTCATCCAAGACCTAATTGAGGAAGAGCACGCCGACCTGGCATGCATCACCAAGACCTGGCTGATCGTGAAGGGGAGGGTGTTCCCTTCTTGGAAATGTGCCCCAGGGGTTTAGGGTTTGGCCCAAACCAAGATCCCAGGGCAGGGCACTTGGGGGTGGGGGAGGCAGAATCTCTTTTGGCCTTCAAGACACTTGCTCTCCACGTTTCTGGCTGTGAGAAACTGTTCCTGAAGCTGGGCTCACAAATCTCAAATGGGAGCGTTGCTGCTGTACCAGCCTCCCTGCTGCATAGCAGCCTGCCTGATTGAGCTGCTGGAGGCCCTCTCAGTGGTGGTAGAGGAATTCCTCAAGGCTTATGATCCTGGAGGACTTGAATCTGCCATCCCTGGGCTTGGCCTCAGAAGCAGTCCAGTTCAATGACTACCATGGCAGATCACCTGGGACAGTAGAGCGGCCACATGCCGGACATGATTTTCTTGTCAGAGCAATGGCAACATTGCTCTGACAACGGTGGACCAGTCTGTTTCTCCCTTGTCCCATGGTCAGATCACGCCCTGCTGTCCTTCAAGATTCTCTTATGCCATTCCCCTCCACAAGGAAGCCGGATCCAATCAAGCAATCTGTCCCTGGCAACTGATGGACCTGAATGGTATCCAGAGGGAATTGAGGGATATCATGGGGGCTTTGTTGCAGTCCTGCCAAAGGTCCGGTAACAGTCTGGAATGAAAGGGTGGCTGAAGCATTGGACAGGATCGCGCCTATGCGGCCTCTCGACCCGTCATTCTCAACCCTCCCTGTGGTTCACAGGAGTTGCAGGTTCTGAAAAAGATTAAGAGATGCCTGGAGCAGGGATCTCCAACTTTGGCAACTTTAATACTTGTAGACTCCCAGCTTTGCTGGCTGAGGAATTCTGGGAGTTGAAGTCCACAAGTCTTAAAGTTGCCAAGGTTGGAGACCCCTGGACTAGAGCACCAGTGGTGGAAAACAAGAGATGACAGTGACCAGGTACAACTTAGAGCTGCTATTAAGGCCTATCTTGTGGCAGTAAGAGCAGTAAAACATCCTTTTTCCACCCTTATTGCATCTGCAGTGTTGACCTCCGGCCCTGTTCAGGATCACTCAGTCCCTCCTAGGGCAGGCCTTGGTGGGGGGGGGGGCGGTCATCTCCAAGACCTCACAGAGGTATTTGTTCCACACCTGACAGATAAAATTGCTTGGATTCGTTCCCAGTTGGAACCCTGCTTGCTGCTGGTCCATGTGAGATGCTGAGGAAAAGTCTTGCCATTTTTCTGGGAACAGTTTGATCCTGTTGAGATGCTGTCAGTATACCCACCTGTCTCCTTGCCTGCCCATTGATGAAAGCTTCTTTGATGATAACTGCCAGGTGTGTTCAAGCACTGATAAAATTCCTCACTGCAGGAATGGACAGTCCTGGGGCCTTTTAAGGAAGTCCTGGTTTGCCCCCTCCTAAAAAAAAACATCCCTTGATCCCATCTCTGGACAATTTTCATCCAGTTTCCCAAAAAGTGGTTGCTTGGCAGCTTCAGGGGGTCTTGGATAAAATGGATTATCTTGACACTTTTCAGTCAGGATTCAGGCCGTTTTGGGACAGAAACAGCACTGGCCTCACTTGTTGGTGACCTCTGGCAAGAGCGGGATGCGGTAGTGCAATCATCCTTACTCTCCTTGACCTTTCAGTGGCCTTGGATACCATCAACATTATCCCTTTTGGGCCAGCTGCAGGGTATGGGGTTGGATGGCAGTCTCGCACTGGTTTGGCTTCTTTCTCCAAAGCCAGTCACAATCAGTTTTGATAGGGAGAGATCCAGCCCACAGTCGCTTCTTTGTGGAATGCCACAGGGCTTGGTACTCTGTCCACTCCTTTTTAACATCCAAATGAAGCCACTGGGTGAGGGCATCCATCACCATGGGTTGAAGTATCATCAGTACATGGATGATACTCAAATCTATATCTTCACCCTGGTGACCCCAACTGATGCCATTGATGCCCTCTCAGGGTGCCTGGAGGCTGTGCGGGTCTAGGTAGGGACTAAACCCTGGCAAGACTGAATGGCTTTGGGTGCATGGAGCTTCGACATCTGGCACTTTGATGTCTTCAGTTCTGGGTGGGTTGCGCTCACTCAGATAGACCCAGTGCACGATTTGGGGGCTCTCCTGGACTTGTGACCTCTGCTCAAAGAGCAGTTGGCAATCGTGGCTAGGAGAGCCTCTGCCCAACTCTGTGTTGTGCCAAAGTTGCAACCTTTCCTAGATCAGGAATCCTCCACTCAGTCATTCAAGCCCAGGTCAGCTCATGCCTAGACGATTGCAAATATGCTCTACACGGGGCTACCCTTGAAGAATATTCAGAAGCTACAACTGGTACAGAATTCTGCGGCGTGGGAATGTTTGTGGCTATTAGGGTACCCACATTATACCACTGTTAGTGAGCTGCTGGCTGGTTTCTGGACACAATTCAAGTGGGTTATCACGTTTAAAGCCCTTCATGGCACGGGTCCTAGGTATCTGAGGATCCATCTCACTCCCATGGGTTTGACCCACGCCACTTAAGCTGGGGCATGCTACAGATCTTGTCAGTTAAGGAATTTCTGCTGGCAAGGTCCAGGAAAAAAGCCTTTTCTGCCACAGCTCCTGCCCTTTGGGACTCATACAACCAGAGATGAGATACGCACCCACCCTACTGATCTTCCAAAGGGGCCTGAAGACCTGGCTCTGCCAGTTAGCGTGGGGCCTCAATGGGGGTGCACCATTCTGGAGACGGCTATCAGATTAAGAGATCCCACCTCTCCCCATGTATTTCATGCTCCCCTCCTCCCCATCTTTTAACTGTTACATTTTATTGTTGTTATATGTTGTTTTATCATTTTAATGTTTACTGGGTTTTAAGGTTTGTAAGCTGCCTGGAGTCGCATCCAGATGAGATGGGCAGCACACAAATCTAAATAAATAAATAATTTCACAACAAGGTCAGCACAAGACAATGATTGCACTGAGGCTTGGGAAGCTACTCCAGAAAAACAAATGAAATATCTTGCCAGCACATTTTGCTTGAAATAGATGAAGGATCTTTTTTATTCATTTCCTCGTTCCACAAACTTCAATTCAGAACATTGTTCCTTTTGTGGGTGATAGAAAACTAGTTCCAGACGAACTCTCCACTGGAAAGTGATTCTATTAGGAGATTCTCAGTGCTATCAAGGTGCTTCCCTTGCTCAACTCCAGTGCTGTTCAGTGGGATGTCTCAAAAGAACAGGATGTGCTTCTGGTGTCAATCCCTTCAAGTATCCGTAATACTTCCAGCATTATTCCAGCCTGAAACATGACAATCCAGGACAGACCCTTGGCTGGAAGTGTACTTATATCTCTGCATCCAAAGTGTAGACCCGTATCAGTTCCAAGACTATCTGGTCCATAACAGGTTTGGAAAGATCTTCACTGAACACCTAAAAGGTAAATTAAATTAAAAAGTCTTAGCAAAGCAGGGGGAGAAATCCTGGCAGGATCAAATAGGCAAAATACTCTTCCAGAATATAAAGTACCCTATAGCCAATTGGGATGCATATATTTTGCATATTTTCCTTCACCAAGAGGTTTGAAGAATGCAAAAAAATCCACCTGACCACAGCTGGCACAAGGACGGAAGATATGGGTGTAAATACATCACACAAAGTGATGCTTCTTTCAATTAATGCTTGTTCCATTAACAACTGCAATCCTATTTCCAACTTCCCTGGTGAGCACCACAGCACTGGCTCTTGTTTTTATCCCGCAAAGAAGCTCCAATGCCTGAAATAGAAGATGGATCTGCAAAGCTAAAGCATATATGCAAGTACATTTTGGGTTTTTTTTAATATTACGATTCTCAGAATTTCCCCATATTTTACAACTTAACATTCACCATCATCTCTATTTGTGAGATTCCACAGTTTTTAGAGGGGCATGCCTAAGTCTAAGCAAGGATACCGCCTAATTGTCTCAATTAGACCAATTATGTGATTGATTTTCTCATCTTTTTGCAAACAAATGGATTAGGACCACTGAACCAGGTGAAGATTAGCTTTCCTGCCCAATGCTATTTATTTAGCTGAAATTGCTCTGCATATGATATAGATGTTATTTGCTCTGTGGAGCATATGTATGTTTTAATTCAGTTCTAAGGAACCATGGCTGTATTAGTCACTTAAAAACAAAAATATATAACCCAGCTATGGATACCTCCTCAACTCATTTCTACAACTTGAAATTTTTATTATTGTTAACAGCATGCCCAGCTGCGAGTATGAACCTAATGTGCCTTTTTTTCTGAAATTTTGACTTAGCATAGTGTGTACACTTAGTTATTGTGATTTGTAAGCTATAGGTTATGTCTTATTGACTTGTGGTTATTTGCTTATATAATTTAGAATTCACATACTTCAAGAACTCTGGTTGGCTGACATAAGGTTAAAATTTCCATATTTCAAAACATTATGAGAAATAACAGCATCATCTTCAGCTAACATCGCCTGCCTCAAATGCTCAACAGAAAGAACAGATTTCCACTGTTTTCCTGAAATATCTAGACCTGGGAAAAGACCACCAAGAAACCCCGTTTCCATCCAAGAACCTCGGCCTCCCAAGGAGCAGGGACCAGAGCATCCCCTGAAACTGATCAAACAGGACGGACAGATTCTATCTGTGATCTGAGCCCAAGCCACAGAGTGGCTTTACAGGTTGGCTTTATAGGTTAAGGCAAAGAGACTTCTTGAAAGTCTTCAAAACCATACCGGCAACCATCCCAGTACCTACAATGTAGATTTAACTCTGCTATAGCAGCTCTCACTTGCCAACATGCGGGCTGCCACAATCTGTACCAACTGCAATTTCCAGGTATTCTTCAAAGACAGCTCCAAATAGAGAACAGTTCCAGTAATCCAACGTTGACATAATGAGGGCGTGAGTAACAGATGCTTTTAAAAGGACTAGACGCTTTAGCTGGCAAAACAGTCAGAGCCAGGCAAAGGTTCTTCCTAACCTTCTAGGAGAAAACATGAGTCTAGGAGAACTCCCAAGTTGCAACCTACCTCTTCAGAGGGGGCACAACGCTATCCAAAGCCACTGAAGGCTTATGTACAAATAGCAATTCTCTCTTGCTGGGATTCATGCCCAAAGCCCTCATTAGCTTCACATTTCACAGTACGACAAGACTTGTAACAAAACTATCTACCACAAATGCTGACAAAATCCTCAGGTATGAGATGGAAACAGAGCAAATCAATAAAATGCCCAGGGTAGACCATTTTAATCAATCCTTCGCCCTTGCTGAGGTTCCTAAAAGAAACTAACTACAAACTGAGCATGACAAAGCACTAATTACACCACTGCCATTCAAGCCACGAACTCCCAAGTTATTCCAGATCCCATCGTCAGAGCGTGGAATTGAGTTATCCTGCATAAGAACCAATTCAACGCTAGTTCCACAAGGAGATCTAGAAGACTGCTGGGCAGCAGGATGTCTAGGAAGGCAGCAGAATCCCTAGCTTGTTACTGGAACAGAATTTCAGAAAACACAATCAGCCCACAGGCAGTAGGGTAGCAGCCCATGCAAAATCAGCACTATGGCTCCCTGGCTTTCAAAGGGTGGCTCCTGAAAACAGCTGAAACCCTGGATAATTCTCGGTTGGGTCTAGTCTCCATTCTCAGCTAACCCCGTCACAATTATACACATTAAGTCCAGCCTAGGGTTTGTTCAAGCTAATCTGATTAAAAACACCTACAGCTCAGCGCGACCTATGAACACAGCCAGAATGCACAGAACAGGATTGAGGAATTTGTATCTTTCCGTGTGTGCTTTTCCTAAACCCGAATAAAGCTGCCTCGGGTTGACAAGATACCAGGCAGGTGGTTTATTTTGTTTATTTTATTTATTTTTTACTAAGTGATTAGTATGTAGTTTAATATTTGCTTTATTTGGTATATTGCCGTACACTGCTTCAAATTTTTTTTTTTCTAATATGGAAAGTTGTACATAGGCTGATTAAAGAAAGGGCTGGAAGATCAGTGGGAGGTTTTCCAGCCCTGGTGCAGGTCAGGTGATAGCAGTGATTTAATATCCAAGAAACTGCACTACCCACATTTCAGTGTCAAGTGCAGAGGCTGTGAAGCAAGGATGCTAAATAAATAAGCGAACAACCATATAAACAAAATCCCACGCAGACAAGCTCCAAAACCTGACCCAAATAGAGCTGAAGGATACAGAGCGCCTTCGAGCTGTTCCCTTCCCACCCTGCCTCCCTTACCTGCCACCACGGCCGCTCTGCTTCAGCATCAGCAGGCACTTCTACCCCGTAACACTGCAGGGCAAGGTAAAGGACCGTCACGGCAATGTGCTGTGGAGGATGCTGGAGGCACAGAGGTCCGTGGTAGCTGTCCCGCAACAGAGCCCAAGCTGCCGCCGCCACCGGGGTCCGCTCCCAACTATGCCGGTTCATCCAGTGCTTCAGGGACAGTAAATAATGGAGGAGGTACTGCATACAGAAAACAACATCTTTCAGGGGTAATTGAAAACATGGGGGAGGAGAAGAAAAGAACCTGGTGTCAACTTCTCTTGTAACGGGACTTTGCATTCAGTGCCTAAAGGCAGAGAAGTAAAGACTTAACTCCTTGTCGTCCCCCCCATGTACTTCATGCACCCCCTTTCTACCCTACGTCCCCTCCTACGTAGCCTAGACCTTATGGGGGTGCTGGAAGGAGACACGGAAGCAGAGCACACGTAGCATGAGCAGCTCACACTGGACAACGCTGTCTCTCAGCTCCCAGAAATGTGTATCCAGCTCCAGGGGATCACTCCGAGGATGCAAGTACCTGAGAGGAGTAAAGAAAAACGCTGAAAAGTTTGTTTGCAAGGAAGCTGACTTGAGCCTTCCTCTGGCCTCCCACGTTAATGGTGATTTTACTCGATCTGGAATAAGCGGTACGATTGGCTAGAACGTAAAAAAAAAAAAAATGAAAAGGGGAATCAAGGGGGGAAAACAAATTTATGAAGGACGTTTTTTAATAGCAATACATTTTACTTGATAGAGCAGATGTATTTATTTTTGAAAATTATCATGGATTTGAAGTTGTTACTGTAGTACTGTAATATAATTACAGGTAGTCCTCGACTTACGATTTATGACCTCTCCCACACCACTATATAACATTATTTAACTAATTCATAAAAGCAATCTGTGATGACCCGGGGCATGGCGCAAAGGCAACACAGTCAAATAAGCAAGAAGAGGCCCTTTATTATCTCCAACTTTACCCCCAATATCCAAGTTACCTTCAGCTGGAGAAAAACACTCCCAGGAACAGTCTTTAAGTGGAGGAAATTCAGTCCGAAAACAAAGTACATACAAACTGTAACTAAAAATCCAAACAAACCACCCTGTAGTAATTAACTTGATAGGGCAGGAGAAGGAATTGCAGACTTGAAAACACAGCAAAACACACACAGTTGGGAAGACGCCAGGAACACAGATAAGCCTCAACGAAACCAGATAATTCACAATTTGCTCCCAACAACTTGCTGTGCGCAGCTTCCCTTTTTAAACAGTGTGTTCCCAGCTGCAGCTAACAAAGGGAATCAGGGCCCTTTTGTCCCCCATAAGCCACGCAACTCACGTTGCTCCCTTCTCCCTTCCTCCCTCCGTGCCCTAGAATGAAGAGGGGGTGGGCCTCGGTCTTCCTCCGAATTCCCTCTGCCTTGCTCTATCTCTCCCCTGCTCTGCCCAGCTGGACTTTGCCCTTCCCCAGTTTCTTCCTCAGCCAACAGAGCCATATTCCCACTCCCTGTCAGCTGCTCTGCCTCGCCCTCCAAATCAGATTCCGACAGGGGCATGACACAACCTAGCAACCCTTTGAAGTTACAACAGACCAGAAAAAGAGGAGTTACGGTTGGGTCCCCTCCACAGTAACATGACCCCAACCTTAGACACTCAGCAATATGGCCACACTCACACGCCCATGTTCTACAATGGTTTTGCCAAAAACCAACACATACATCCAGTAAATCGACACTTATGACTGCTGCATTTAACACTTAACAACTGCCACAAAAAATGTTGTAAAATTGAGTTGGTTAGATGGTCCAACCCATTTTACGACCATTACAACATATGACTGTAGTGGGCAGGCTCCATTAAGGTTGTATCTTGAGGACCACCTGTATTAGAAAGAAGAATTTGCCATAAAGCTAGGAAAGAATTTCCCTTCAGGTCAGCTTTGTTAACCACCAGGGAAGAAACATCTTTTCCCACACCATCTTACAGTTCAACATGTAACAACATTCAGCTAATTCATAAAAGGCTTGGAAGCTATTTACAAACATCATCATTTGGTTCAGATCCCACTTCATCTCCAGGAAGAATATATAGTATACACAGCAATCCTCTCCTCATACTTTATCCTTCCCAGAACAGTTAAGTAAAACAATGGACTCAAAGCTCTGCAATGTAGAATGTTTTGCCCAATTCTGCTTTCCTTATCTATAATCAAGGTAAGGTACCGTATATGCCGGCGTATAAGACGACCCGGCGTATAAGACGACCCCCCAACATTTCCACTCAAAATATAGTTTGTTATATACTCGCCCCCTCTTCCGCACGCCTTCCACTTTTGCACTTTTTTTTTTTTTTTTGAGGCACTTTTGTGCACCGTGGAAACGAATCCCGTGAAGCCGAAAGGAGCAGCCAGCCTTCTCCCAGCTCCCAAGGAAACGAGGCTCGCACCGCCCGGGCTCCGCTGAGGTATCCGACTGGGGCTGTCAGGAGTTGTTACTGCTGGCGCGGCTCCGCGCGGCTCCAGTCCCGCGTTGCCTCGGGAAGGGAAAGGCAAAAAGGAAGAGCCGCGGTGGCGCTTTGCAATGGCAGCAGCGGCTCCTGGTTTTGCCTTTCCCTTCCCGAGGCAACGCGGGACTGGAGCCGCGCGGAGCCGCGCCAGCGGTAACAACTCCTGACAGCCCCAGCCGGATACCTCAGCAGAGACCGGGCGGTGCGAGCCTCGTTTCCTTGGGAGCTGGGAGAAGGCTGGCTGCTCCTTTCGGCTTCACGGGATTCGTTTCCACGGTGCGCAAAAGTGCCTCAGCCGCGGGCAGCCGCAGTGCTTCCCAATTACTATTTGCCGGCGTATAAGATGACCCGGCATATAAGACCCCCCCAATTGGAGGCATGTTTTTCAGGGCAAAAAAGTCGTCTTATACGCCGGCAAATACGGTAATTTAATTGAGAGGAGAGGGGTTGGACAGATAAAAAGCTAAGCTTCAGGTTCTTCCTAGAATTTCAAGTTTTTTTTCCAGAACTATTATTTGAAAGTTCAGCTGGACTTATGCCTGCATCTTACTTCATGAAGATAAACTTGGCTGTCCAAGCTTAACTTTTTTTTAATAGGAGTCTGAGCTCTTGCAGGATTAGAAGATTCTGCCAAATCCCACTAAATTCTAAAACTTAATTTACCTAATGACTATAATGTGCACTGATATTTCTTAGAGCCTGAAACAGCTTAAGGAATTCACATCACAAGATACAGAAAAGACATTTGGCTTATATGATGTTCACAGTTTAGATCTCCTGGGCTCAGAGGCAATAAGTAACAATTGTTCAGAACTCAAAGCCGACAAGTGTAATCTTCCTGTTCTATTTGTGGACTTCCTGAGAAAACCTGACCAATATAAGAATGGATGAGGTCTTTTTCTAATCCACAAGGTCTTTTGGGGTTCCTGAATCTTACAAAGAAGTCTTGTGTATTAAGATGACTTAGCACAGTAGGAAGGAACTAAAGAATCAGATGTTCATAAGGGATAAAGTGCATTATAATTTAAAGCTAATGGACCTATGACCTAAGTCAGTCTTCTTCAATCTGCTCTTCTTCAGAGTATGTGGGGGATTCAATAACCCGAATTCATAACTAGTATGACCAAATAATGGGAATTCCACATTTTGAAAAATGCCAGGTCCACTGGCTACCCATCCCTTGATTCAGCAACTACTTTTGCTGTAGCAGAGGCTCTCGTTGCAATGGGAAATGCCAAGCTGCAGGAAGTTGGTTTTGCTGATTCTTAGCAGCTACTTACTTACTCCTCATACATCCAGCCTGCCCTTCGTAATTACATATCCTGACCCCAATGCTTTTTACCTGTGGCTCACATTGATGATGTCCCTTATCCGCAAATGCTGTTCTTCTACCTTCCCAGCCAGATACAATGCAGCCATAGCTACCAAGTAAGGATCATATGGCTCCAGAGGCACCTCCATAAAAAATCGGTGATAAATGGTGCATGCTGTAGCAATAGGGACAGACCGCAGGCTTAACTTCACACCTGTTAGCAGAAAGGAGATTCAGCAAAGAATTTCTAGCCTCTCATGAAAGAATAAAGAGGAAATAATAAAGACACAACTTCTTGACTCAGACATGACCTGACCACAAGCAGAGAATATAAGGTAAAGACCATCAGGAAGTTCAATTCTACACAAACCTCCCTGAAATTAATGGAAGTTGACAAGATCTGTCCTACTTGCAGAACTCTCATTGTAATTCTGTTTAGGAATGAGAGACTTGAGGTCTAGTGGGATATAAAACAACACAGCCAAACTACACAGCTAAGATTCTGGGAAAATAGGGGTTGTAGAGGTTCAAACCCAAGAATCTTTATCCAGTTCCTCCATCAGAAATAAACCAGAATTCTAGAATTCTCACCAATAAATGCAAACACACTGGAAATGTCTACATGTGTCTACTCAAGTATAAGACATGACTAAAACTAAATAAGAAATAGAGTAAGTCATATCTACTTCACACTACTTCATGAAGCCCACCAATCTAACATCTTGGATTGTCTTGACTTTAGGCCTATCCAGTAAGACCCCCTAACTCCAAGTGCCTCACAGATTGGCACTTTCTCCCAATACAGCAACTCCTTTTTCATAGGAATTGGGCATTACTAACCAAGGAAGGGAGATATTTTAATCACCTGCTTCCATGATGAACCTGCAGACTTTGAAGTGAATTCTGACATTTGCAGATATCTGGCTGCTTTCCTGCAGTCTAGTGGGATTCATGGATGTTGTCAGAGGATCTGTATAAGCACGAGAAACAGACAGTCAGTTTAGGAAACACTCTTCCTTTACAAAACTTCGATTATTCTCTCTACAAACAAACTGTCCTCATAGGTTGCTATTAACCATATTCCATCTGGTTCCACTTTTTAAGTGAAACTCAAACATCAGCTACCCGTGTCTTCTCCTCCAGGGTGAAGACAATCTAGGAAGAGTTACATTTTCTCAGTAAATTGAAGGATGCTTGTATCTTCTTATAGAATCTTCTTATAGAATCAATTACAAATCTGGGGCAGGAGCCCTATAGAACTCCTAGGATGAATGCTAGCATTCTCAACCCTATTGAGCCTGTGGAATATTAAACTGAAATACTGCTTCTGAAAAGTTCCCAATATTCCTACATTTAAGGGAAGGAGTGAATAGTACAGCAATATGTTTTACGCAGAGATCTTTGGCAGAAGTGGGCCGAAGTTTTCTCCATCAATGGAGCTTTAGTCTGTTTTTTTTCGGGGGGGGTGGGGGAGAGGGGGAGATTGTAGACAATGGCTGAATTGATGCAGTCTGATGTTATAATGTAAGTAATTCATTTGTTTAAAGATTACTGCAACTAAGCTCTGCACACAAAAATAGCAGTGTTAATTTTTAAGGGGATAGGTCCCCAACAGTAACAATTTGAGGAAGATGAAGAGAGAGGAGGGAAGAAACACAGAAAGATCATTTTAATAAAGTTGTTTCATGGGTAGCAAAGATAAATACATCAAATGAGCTCCATAATACTATAGACATTATACACCATAAATGATTATAGTAAGTTCCTCTTCTACCAGGTATACCCAAGACCAATGAATATATTACAAAGATAATTGTGTTTTCATTATTTGCAAAATGCTGAGAATGAATTATTTGAGGGGGGGGGCAATTTGGGAGGCAGATCATGCCTAGTTGTAACAGACCCTGTGGAAGTGTTCTTCAGTCTGCTATTGAAATGATTTACCACGATCCTTAGCCAGAATGAACAACAGTCAGTTTGGCCGGGACACATCAGTGTTACATTTGAACTGCCACCCTAGGGGCAACGACCCCCCAATCTCTTGGGCACCAGGGACCGGAGGGGACGTGGTTTTGTGTGCTGCCTGCATCCCACAGATGGGGCTTCGCTTGTTTTGCGCGGACCGGTTGCTGGCATGCCGCAGACCGTTGCCGGTCCTCGGAACGGGGTTGGGGATCCTTACCCTAGGGCAGGGGTGGGCAAACTACGGCCCGTGGGCCACATCCGGCCCGTTGGTCTTTTTTATGCGGCCCGCCGAAGATTGGTCCGTATGTAACCGCGGCCACTTTATCTATCTATCTATCTATGTTGTGCAAATTTAACTATGATGCCAAACTTGAGTTTTGGAGGGTGTCTCGGAGAAAAAAATAGTTATTTTTCCTACCCTGAGTACGGCAGGCGTCTCTTCCACTTAAAAAACAAAACTCTTTCCTCCCCTCGCTTTGAAAAGGGGAACTGTTAACAAATGCAGTTTTTTATATGTATCGTATCTTGTGCTGACCCGGCCCGTCCGTCAAATTTTAAAAGTCAATGCGGCCCCCGAGCCAAAAAGTTTGCCCACCCCTGCCCTAGGGTGAACAAAAAAAAACCTCCCCCCGCCTATCTTTCCAGAGCTGAAGGGTCTATTCAGGACCGGCCAGAAGTCGAAACTTTCGCGACGTCATGAATTTGGCTGCAACCACCTCCCTCTGCAGGAGATGGTAGCATTTGATCTCACCTACGCTCGGCCACTAGGCTTGGGGGACGATTCGAGAGCCGGGAAGCCCCGGGCACGAGCAGGGAAGAGAGCACGAGCGGTCGCCGAGCCCCTTCCCGCTCAGTCTGTGTCCCGGTGGTCTCCTGGCGACTCGCGCCCGGTCCTCAGCCTCTCCCGGACCACCCTCGGGCATGTTTCCCCCCACCCCGCGTCGCCTTTTGTTCTCTACCCTTTAACTCGGCTTGAGAGAACCGGACCGGGGAGTCCCTCCCGGGGGTCGCGTTGGGCCGTCTTCCGGCTTCGACGGTCACCCCGAAACGCCCGGGACGCGACGCAAAGCGGAGCCACCCACCCCGCCGCCGCCGCCGCCGAGACACAGGAACAGCAGCGGCGGCGGCCGAGCGAGCCGTGCGCCCACGTGGACCGTCACGTGAGAAAGGCCTGCGAGGGCGCGCGCTGCAGCCAGCGCTGCCCCCCCCCCCTCCTCCTTTGCACGGAGGGTGGCGTTCGGCGCGCTACTCTCGCGCCTGCGCGATGCTTCGCGGACTCGATCGATGGAATTAGATCAGTCTTGGACTTTTGTTTTTCCGGTTGTTGTTGTTTTTTTTCCTTTTCACAGCGGAAATAGCATTGTGAATAGTGTTGTAAGAACATTTCATTACAGATAGCATTATTGTAAAAACTAGCCGCCGAACCAAAACCCATTCCTTGATTGTGTTTGAACTAGTGTGCATACAGAGCGTTGCAATTTAAATGGGATGTTGGGAAAATCCAGTCGACTATGCTTAACCAGTCGACCTTGTTTAAGCTGTAAAGTTTGGCAGTAGGCTTAAGCCAAAAATGAGCCAAAACAAAGACTTAAACGGAGGCTTGCAAATTAAATAAAGCAGATTTTTATTCTTTAATCAAAGTTAAAGAATCTGGGAAGAAGTTCAGTAACCCTAGAAGTAGCAGGAAAACATTAATTTTGATGGTCCTTAACTGTAAAACTATTTTATAGTTTGTATGTAGCCAACTGGAGATTAATAAAGTGAACATTTCCCCCCCCCCCCAAATATATATACAATATACCGTAGTTTCCAAGCTGTGGATTGTACTCTTCAGTTACAATTAGCCATTTGTCAAGACTTCCCTCTTCCAACTTAGTTTGAATTAGTTTAAATGGTTCCTTATTTATGTATTTTATGTATCCAAACCTTCTCAAAAGCAATCTCCCCAGATTTAACATCCCATTTCTACTCACTATGTACACATCTAAAACTTTACTATGCTACCACCTTATTACTTGTAGAAGTGTCATTGTTGTTTTTGAAGATTATAGCAAGAAAATGCTTGTAAATGTATAACTGTTCTCAGAAGAATATTTCTTTCCTGGTGAGATCCACAATTGCTGGGAAATAGAACATGTAAGGTAGAGAACCACTGAATTAGAAAAGCACAACTAAGTAAATAAGTACAGATAGTCCTTGACTTACAACAGTTCACTTAATGACCATTCAAAGTTACAACAGCACTGAAAAAAGTGACTTATGACCATTTTTCACACTTATGACCATTGCAGCATCCCCATGGTCACATGATTTACATTCAAATGCTTGACAGCTGACTCACATTTATGACAATTGCAGTGTCCTAGGGTCATGTGATACCCTTCTAACAAGTAAAGTCAATGGGGGGTAGCCAGGTTCATTTAACAACCGTTTTACTAATTTAATGAGTCTGTCATCTGCACCTCTATAACTGTCTGGTTTGGTTCTGCAACAGGACAGACACAGACTTCAGAGAGTAATTAGGACTGCAGAAAAAACAATTACTACCCACCTACCTTCAATTGAGGACCTGTATACTGCACGAGTAAAAAGAGAGCTATGAAAATATTTACAGACCCCTCACATCCCGGATATAAACTGTTTCAACTCCTTCCCTCAAAACAACGCTATAGAGCACTGCACACCTGAACAACTAGACACAAGGACAGTTTTTTCCTGAACACCATCACTCTGCTAATCAAATAATTCCCTCAACACTGTTCAACTATTACGAAGTCTACACTACTATTACTATTAATCTTCTCATTGTTCCTATCACCCATCTCCTCCCACTTGTGACTGTATGACTGTAACTTTGTCGCTTGTATACTTACGATTTATATTGACTGTTTCCTAGCATGATTTGATTGCTTATTGTACCCTATGACTATCATTAAGTGTTGTACCTTACGATTCTTGACTCTTGACAAATGTATCTTTTCTTTTATGTATACTGAGAGTATTTACATCAAGACAAATTCCTTGTATGTCCAACCACGCTTGGCCAATAAGGAATTAATTCTATTCTAACAGCTGCAATGATTTATTTAACAACTGTGGCAAGAAAAGCCATAAAATGGGGCAAAACTCACTTAACAAATTTCTCACTTAGCAACACAAATATTGGGCTTAATTGCAGGGGTGGGATTCTCCCGGTTCAGATCAGTTCGGGCAAAACCCTAGCTGCAATGATCAGCTGGCTCTGAACCGGTTCGATCTGACAATGATCATGTGGGCTCACCCACCCACCCGCTGCTGTCCTGTACTCACCTATATCTGCTCAGTTGATTCATGTGGCAGAGCGGATTGCTACGCCTCAGCTGTGTTACTTCCCCCAAAATAATACTGAAGGTAAGCAACTGCGATAGCTGCACACGCACGAAGCGCACAATTAGCAAACTGGTTGTTACACCGGGAAAATCCCACCCTGCTTAATTGTCAGAGGTGGTATTCAGCAGGTTCTGACCAGTTCTGGAGAACTGGTAGCGGAAAATTTGAGTAGTTCGAGAACCAGCAAATACCACTTCTGACTGGCCCCACCCGCATCTATTCTCTGCCTCCCGAGTCCCAGCTGATCGGCTGGGTCTTTTGTTGCCCTGTACAGGATAACGGAGCTGGAAAGCAAGTTAGTGGTTGGAGAGGGAATGGGATTTTGCAATATTTCCCCTGCCACGCCCACCAAAACACGCCCACAGAACCGGAAGTAAATAATTTTGAATCCCACCACTGTTAATTGTGCTCGTAAGTTGAGGACTACCTGTACTTTAGAACATAAATTAAAAACAATTGTAAAAGATGTATCAAAATAATTTAGTAGAGGGTTTAAAATTCACTTACAAATGAATGGTTTCATTTGCCAATGCAATTTCAGCTTTTTCAATATAAACACATTTTCTAGAAGTAAAATCCATTGACAGTTGGTTTTAACATCTAAGTAAACAGGAGGATTGTGCTGTGATTTCAACCAAATCTATTTTGGTTCAGTTCTTTAACAAAAAACAATGTATAGCTACCAGGTAATTATGAAACAAATGAACGGGCGGGGATTTGAAACCTGGGCATGATGGAAAAAGAGAATACATCTGTTGAACATAGAATCCAGAATTTTTCTCCTAACAATAAGAACAATCAGACAGGGGAAACAGTGGCCGAAAGGGTAATGGCCTTCCTTCTTTGGATGAGTTCAGGAGTAGATATCAGTCTCACCAACTTTCCCAATAAACAGTTGGATTGGTGCATTAAATAAGAAGCCACAGGCCTAATGGCCATTTCCAGCTCTGATTCTGCAATGAAATATTCAACAGCTCACTTTACAGCGTGAATTAAACCTACATGTTTTATAAAATCTAGTGGAACCAAAACCAAACCAATCATATGATTACTGTATGTTTTGTGAATAAGGGCATTCTATTAAGTAAAAATGTTTGCTTTGGCTTAACATGTTATGCAAACACAGCCATTGCAGTTTGTTAATGGTTTGGATTAAGGGTCAATGTTTCGGGCTGATTGGGTCATTTGGAAAGTTGAGAGCATGTGATCATATTTTATTATCATGGGTGCTGTGAGATTGCTCAGTCATTCACAAAACAGCTCCCACAGGGACCTAAACAATTACAGGGTATAGTTATAGCAGAATACTGTCTATGTACTACTTTTCTGGGTTACTGTGCATATATCCAAGCAAACCCATTTCCCAAAAACTTTTGGGGGAACATTTGCAGTATGCAAACTTCCTTCTTTTCCTCCCTGTCTGTTTCAGATAGGGCAGGATGCCTGGTAATTGTGTTGGAAGAAATATCCATCTGGGTTCAGTTCCAAGTGGGAAGAAAGACACTGGAGACTGCTTGGAAAGATAGTTTAATGGTGAACAGGACCATACGGGTGGGATTCTACAGGTTCGCACCTATTCGCTAGAATTGGTTGTTAACATTGTAAGCAGTTTGGAGAACCGGTTGTTAGAAGAAATTACTGGCCTAATCCTGTAAGGAAGGCAGGAAGGAAACATTCTGGTATTGCTTACAGAAACTGCCTCTCCGTTAACCCTTATTACATTCTTGGCAGGACTAGACTTCCTGTCTCTGGAACTTCTCTGGAGTTTTTTTTCCTCCTTTGCTGGTACTTTGCTTGTGTGGAGTAACCAATCAAAGTTACAATGACACTGAAAAAAGTGACTTATGATCGTTTTTCACACTTACGACTGCTGCAGCATCCCCACAGTCATGAGAGGCCAGGCGAGGAGATGCGTGCCTCGATGTGAGTGATGTTGAGTTGGCCATGCCCAGCCAGTCACATGACCAAGCCATGCCCACCAACTAAGCCACGCCCACAGAACCGGTTGTTAAAAAATTTGAATCCCACCCCTGGGACCACATTGAGGTCTTAGGCAAAAAAGAGCACATGGTTGGGAGAGGGCTTTGAACTTACTTCCTGTTCCTGTGGCAAGAAATGTATCCTGATTGGTTGTCAAACTTCCATGGGGCCCTGCATGGGTAACCTTGTTGGTTGTCTTGAGTCCCACGCTTGGTTGAATCTTGCTGGGTGAGGTAATGAAGGGGCTTTGGGAAATTTCTATTATGGCTTAATGGTTTTGTCCTTGTTTGGATCTAAGTGAGGGCTAATCCTATCATGTCCTGATGGCCATGTCTTAATTCCATCACCCTGGAGCTGAAGAGAGGGGCAGGAAGCTGCTTTGTCTTTAAAAACATGTTTTTCCTTTTCTCCAGGGAAATATAATATTCTGCCTTTTTAATATTTCCTAGAATATTTCATTCTTCTAGGAGAGGGGTAGGTGCTAACTTTCTACAGTTGCCAAGGGAGAAATAATAAAAATGCATTGAAAAAAGTGTTTATCCTACAGAGAGTGTTCATCTATCTTGCCTAATGGGAAAATCTCTAAGAAGGATATTTAAAATGTTCCTTAGCACCTGTAGAAAGTTAGCATCCACCCTAGAAGAATGAAATACTTTGAGAAATATTTAAAAAGGCAGAATATTATATTTCCCCTAAAAGAGAAATAGAAATCTTAAAGGAAACAGAAACTCAAGGCCACAGTTCCCTGCCCCAAGCAGATACTAAGATGAGGCCAGCTTTTAGAAATGCAGATTTGATA